GTATGTAAATATTAATAATATTTAGTCAAATATTAAAAACAGTCTTATACTTGACTGAGTTACTGAGATACTTTTTGTTAAATGGGATCAACATTTATTGTTTAAAGAATGCATGACCACATATATACTTACAATGCTTTGTTTGAGGCTTTGACCACTGGCAGCAGCCTCAGAAGAGGCTCCTCTGAAGCAGAGAATTTCTTTAAGTCAAACACATCCAGATCTTTTTCTGATGACAGTAAGACAAAGACCAGAGCTGACCACTGAGAAGGAGACAGCTCATCTGTGGAGAAACTTCCTGATCTCAGAGACTGTTGGATCTCCTCCACTAGAGAACGGTCATTCAGTTCATTCAGACAGTGGAACAGATTGATGCTTTTCTCTGCAGACAAATTCTCACTGAGCTTCTCCTTTATGTACTGGACTGTTTCCTGATTGGTTTGTGAGCTACTTCCTGTCTGTGTTAGAAGACCTCTCAGGAGAGTCTGATTGGTCTGCAGTGAAAGACCCAGGAAGAAGCGGAGGAACAAGTCCAGGTGTCCATTTGGGCTCTGTATGGCCTTATCCACAGCACTCTGGAAAAAAATGAGCATGTCAAAAGATTGACTTCTTTTGAACTTCTGGGAGGTTGTTTGTTGTTCTTCTAGCACATTGACCCCAGAGTTAATGAAGGTCAGATGGACATAAAGAGCAGCCAGAAACTCCTGAACACTCAGATGGATGAAGCAGAACACCTTGTCCTGGTACAGTCCTCTCTCCTCTCTAAAGATCTGTGTGAACACTCCTGAGTAAACTGAGGCTGCTATGATATCAATGCCACACTCTATCAGGTCTGATTCATAGAAGATCAGGTTTCCTTTCTGCAGCTGATCAAAAGCCAGTTTTCCCAGAGACTCAATCATCCTTCTGCTCTCTGGACTCCAGTGTGGATCTGTCTCAGCTCCTTCATCATACTTCACCTTCTTCACTTTGGCCTGAACCACCAGGAAGTGGATGTACATCTCAGTCAGGCTCTTGGGTAGCTGTCTTCCCTCTCTGGTTTGCAGCACATCCTCCAGAACTGTAGCAGTGATCCAGCAGAAGACTGGGATGTGGCACATGATGTAGAGGCTTTGTGATGTCTTGATGTGGGAGATGATTCTGCTTCCCTTCTCCTCATCTCTGAATCTCTTCCTAAAGTACTCCTCCATCTGTGGATCAGTGAACCCTCTGATCTCTGTCACCATATCAACACATTGTGGAGGGATCTGATTGGCTGCTGCAGGTTGTGTGGTTATCCAGATGCGAGCAGAGGGAAGCAATTTCCCCCTGATGAGGTTTGTCAGCAGCACATCCACTGAGGTGGGCTTTCTAGGGTCAGTTAGGATTTCATTTTTGTGGAAGTCCAGAGGAAGTCGACACTCATCCAGACCATCAAAGATGAACACAACCTGGAAGTCTTCAAAGCTGCAGATTCCAGCTTCTTTGGTTTCAGTAAAGAAGTGATGAACAAGTTCCACCAAGCTGAACTTTTCCTCTTTCAGCACATTCAGCTCTCTGAAAGTGAATGGAAATATGAACTGGATGTCCTGGTTGGCTTTGCCTTCAGCCCAGTCCAGACTGAACTTTTGTATTAAGATTGTTTTCCCAATACCAGTCACTCCCTTTGTCAGCACTGTTCTGATTGGTTCATCTCTTCCAGGTGAGGCTTTAAAGATGTCTTCACGTCGGATTGTTTTTTCTGGTCTGTCTGGTTTCCTGGATGCGGTTTCAATCTGTCTGACCTCATGTTCATCATTGACCTCTGCAGTCCCTCCCTCTGTGAAATAGAGCTCTGTGTGGATCTGATTCAGCAGGGTTGGGTTTCCTGCTTTAGCAACCACCTCAAACACACACTGGAACTTCTTCTTCAGCTTAGATTTAAGTTTACGAGGACAAACTGTAACAAGATGTTCTAAAAAAAAAAAAGTAGAATATGAGTCATTTTTTTAAGTAGTGCAAATTACAGTTTTATTTTCTAAAGCATTACCCTTGAAAATATGTCTCTCCCTCTGCTGAGCCATAAATAAATACTCCATTTATCACCAGCAGCTTAACACTTTAGATAAATCCTCTTACTTCTATGCAGACGGTCAGCCAGCTTCCCCTGCTTCTTCCTCCTCAGGAAGTCCAGTGTGATCTTCACAACTGACACTCTGCTTCTGCTCCTCTGCTCATCATCCTCCACCTGACTCTCTAAGCCTTCTGGGTAATCTGAACTCAGAAACGTTTGAATCTTCTTCAGCTCGTTCTTCACAAAAGTGATGATGTCGTCCTCCAGCAGCTGGAACAGAATATTTTATGAATGACCCAATCAGACAGAAATCATGAGCCAAACATCAGATCCATATTGGACACACTGACAATCCACTGGTCTACAAAGAGCAGCATGGAGGTGCTGAACAGAATAGATGTGAAAGTAGTTGTTGCACATGTACAGACCATAAATGTGGAGTCCAGGTCTGTTTCAGTCTGCTGGGAGACCTGACCACTGGGAAGCGCTAAGCTCTCCTGGTGTACTCTGTGGAGGAATCATGAACAATTAGTTCAAGTACAAGATAACGGTCAAGACATTATCTGCTCTGCACTGTTTTTAAGAGAACTTCATCTTAAGTGTGTAAAGTTTTGTCTCTGATATATCAGGAAACATTATTTAGTGTAAATATTATTATGTTTGTTTTAAATCCTTATGGATGTCTGTCAGGTTGAGTTTTCTCTTGAGTCTTGGTTCTCTGGGCCCGGGGCTCAGTCTGGTCTGGCATAGCTGGCTGCCGGTGGAGCCTGCGGGCTTGTTGCTGTGGCAAACCATGGCAACTGCACCATGGTTGCTGGGTGGATGGTGAGATAGCCTTTGTAGTTGGCCTCCCTGGGCAGTCGTGCTCTTGCGAGGCTTCTTGATCTGTGGGACTCGGATCTCCTCCATGCCTGCTACATGGGGGCAGGGCTATGGCTCACACCCACAAGTAGACACTTACATGGAGAAACCTGAAGAATACAAGCACGCTCACACACATAGACAGGTGTGCACACAAGTGTACACACAGGTAGTCACAGACACACACTATTTTGGTTTGCTGCTGCCTCTAAACATATCATGCAGTATTAGTACTGTATGCAGCTCAGCAACATTCAATATGTATTATTTACTGTTACTTATGCTTATGCTTATGTTGGTTGTTCCTGTGGCTTCCCTACTGTGTTGTTTTCTTTTTTCAGCAGGTGATCAGATTTTCCATTTCTTTTCTCACTATCTGTTGTTTCTTCTATTTTTTCCCTCTCATCATGTTTACTCTTTCCCAACTTCTCTTTCCTTCTTTCTCTTTTGCCATCCCATTGTCCGTTGTGATTGTAATAACTTTAAGAAAATCTAATAAAGTATGAAATATAAACAATGAATATCAAAATATAAGAAAACTCAAAAACACTGGGTCACATGACCCAGGACTGTGAAAGTAGCAGGAGAAAATCTAACCACGCAAGCAAACTGAAAGAGCTGAGTGTGTCTGAATGATGCAGCTGTTGGTCTGCAGTTAATATTTGGTTCCAGCTGTTGTTCATTAACAGGTTTCAGGTTTATGAGAGAGCTGATAAATCAATATGATTTCTGTTTGGTTATCTCCACACAGCAGATAAAAACTCTGTGTATAATATATCCTAACATGGAACACAGAGGAGGAGAAATGAAAAACTAACAATAATAATACTAATAATAATAATAATACATTTTATTTGAGGGCGCCTTTCAGAAACCCAAGGTCACCTTACAAAAAACA